CAAGCTGTGTGACCCTGGGCAAGTCCCTTAACCTCTATATGCCTCAGTTTCCTCAATTATAAAATAAAGATAATAATAGCACCTGCCTCCCAGGGCTGTTGTAAGGATCAAATGAGATAATATTTCTAAAGTGCTTGGCACATAATAGGTACTTAATAAATGCTTGTTTCTCCCTTCCCCTCCCCATTATAGCTGGGTTACAGAGTGTGAAAAAGGAATTAATGTAAAGTGAGTGAGAACAATAAGTTGTGAAGGACCTTAAAACCCAAAGTACTAGCATTTATATAGTACCTTGAGGTCTACAAAGCATTTTACAAATATCTCATCTGATTCTCACAACAACCTTGGAAAGTAGGTACTATTATTATCCCCATTTTACAGATGAGGAAACTGAGGCTGTGATGAAGGAAAAAAGGAAGGGAAGCAAGGAAGGGAGCAAAGGAGGGAGGAAGAAAGGAAGAACAAAGAAACAAAGAAAAATGGTAAGAGCATTAACGAAGTATTTTTTTTTTAATGCACAGAAGAAAACAGAGGGAAACACAGACAAGTGAGACAGCTACTGTCAACCTAGGTCTTCCTGATTCCAAGCTTAGTATTAGACTTTATAATTAGAGACAGAATCATTAAATAAGTATGTATTTTTCCTTTTGAAAGATCAGAGAACTGAAAGATTTTCTTGACAAAACTAAGACAATCTGTTCTAACCATTTTATTCCCCTACTTTTTAAGATCCTCTTTTAAAATGTTTTCCCTTTTTAAAACCTTTTGGGGGAAAAAATTTATAAGTTTCAAAACATATCATTTGACTCGGATAAAGACAAAATGAAATTAGACACTTTGGAGAATTGTTAGGAAAAAAAGCAGTCTAAAACATTATGTTCAAATTCATATATTGAACAAACTAGGCCCTCTACATATCAAAAGTTTGGAAGGTAAAGTCTAATCCAAATGTCTATATGAACAGTTTAATTCTATGTTTGGGTAGTAGCTTCAATTTTTTTTTCTTTCTTTTAATGTCAGGGTTGGTAAGAGAGCATGACTCATGCTCTGTTCCCATAAAAGCCAGTCAGGCCGGCCTCCACAGTGAGAAGGTCCCATAGCCACAGATGGCATCCTGTCTTACTGGCTGGCCATGCCGTCAATCAGCATCAGGTTGACCAACAATGAAATCATTTTAATTGGCTTATTTTACCCACAGGCTGTCAGAAATCTCCTGCAAGTGGAACAGGATACTGGGAAGATTTTGGAAAGGTTCTTCTGTCCTTTTCTTCTCTACTCATTTAACAACCACAAAAGGGATGTCCCAGACAGCAATCTAGATGCAAGATGCAAGATGTGCAATAGTGCCCAAGAAACAGCAGAATAAACATGGTGAAATCTGGGACTGCTACCTTAGATCTTTCTTTTTAAGTAACTAAGAGTAAGGACCCCCAGTTATGGTCTGCATCCCCAAAGGAGGTAATTCTCCAGTGTGACTACAACTGTTAGGACAACAAGCTTTCTATGGCAAACAAGCATTTACAAAGTAATCTTAAAGTCAAAAATTGTTTTTACATGTAATTGAGGAAAAAAACAAAATATTATTTTTAAAAATGAAGTAGTTTTAATTGATACAAAACCAAGACAATTTACACAGTGACCCCCCAGTAATGTAAAGAAAAATAACATTGAAAGATGTCAAAACTGTACAATGCCCAATCTTGACTTCAGAGAACTGGTGGTGAAATATGCTTCATTCCTCTAGGCAGGGAGGTAGACTATAAATGCAGAATGAGATCTGTGCTATAAAACATAGCCAGTGTGTTCATTCATTTGCTTTTTAATTACGAGGGAGAGTAGTCTTTGAGAAAGAGTACAACTCTGATCAAGACAATGATATATGACAATTCCAAAGGACCCATGATGGAAAATGCTATCCACCTCCAGAGAAAGGACTGAGTGCATAATGAAACATATTTTTTCCACATTATTTTTCTTCCTTTTTTTTCAACATGGCTAATATGGAAATGTTTTGCATGACTTCACATGTATAATGGGTAGCATATTATTTGCCTTTTAAATGTGTGAGGGAGGGGCAGTAGGAAGGGAGAGAATTTGGAACTCAAAATTTTAAAAAGAATGGGAAAAAAGAGAAAAATATAGCCACATAAAAAGTATCAATAAAATATATATTTTTTTAATTATCTTAGATGGAAATGTTATTTGAAACTCCAAGTAAGAAGCTTCACTAACTTCTCTCTGAGGAAGACCTGAATTCTCTCCACACACACACTTTAGTATATTAATAGATTCCTTTTTGTCGTTTTGAATTAGAGGAGGAACAAAGCAATTTAACCCCTCTGTTCCTTGGTCAACTCATTCAATTTTAATGAGGAGATTGTCTATGTAACCTTAGTAGTAGAAAAAGAATTCTTTACCAATACCTAAAATCTGTCTTACCTTCTTTTGCATTGCCCTATATGTTAACCATAATTAACTTGGTACATAAAATGTTTTCTTATTTTAGAAATGTGAAGGGGCTAAAGAAAAGATAATCTCTTATTATGTGCAAATTTGTAAGACTGGTAAAATATTCTTCTCAAATACCCAAGGCCACTGTCAGTCTCTTCCATGGGTTCTATTAAATATTTTCTTTCAAAAGTTTGGACCTCTATCCTTCAGACATGACCGTCTCCCCCACTTTGCTGCATGTCACATGGGTACAGTTATCTCATCTGGGCAATCAAATTATATACTATAACCCAAACTCTTCTCCTACTCAACGTCACTTGCCAGGGCTGTGGACCAAGGAGTGAGCACCAAAAGTACCCTTGAAACCCTCCCCTCTCCCTTCTCCTGATCCCACCAAAGCCTATTTGCTTCCTGTCTGTGACATAGCCTCTTTATGTCTATAACTATACATCCTCACTGATGCTTTGGGATCCATTGCTCTGAAAAAGGAATGAATTCCCCCTGCTGCAAAGCTGTGAAAAATATACTTGAACAGTCTACCTTCCAACGAAGATGGGGATCTTGTTTGCTTAGACCCAGGCCTTCAGAGTGCTTGGCTGCTGCTGGTAATCAAAGCAGCCCACCCAGGAGAAAATAATTTGGAAAGAAAAAAAAGCCTCTTTTCCTCTCAAAGCTGTACTGGGATGGGAAAGAAGAGGAAGAATATATTCAAGTCAATATGAGGATAATAATAACTAGCATTTATATAGTTCTTTAAGGTTTACAAAGCACTTTATAAATATTAAGTCAACTGATCCTCACAACAACCCCCAGAAGTAGGTGCTATTATTATCTTCATTTTACAAATAAGGAAACTGAAGCAGTCAGAAGTTAAGTGATTTGTTTACACAAACTAGCTCACTAGTTTTTGAACTCAGGTCTTCCTGACTCCAGGTCAAGTGCAATATCCAGTAGACCACCTTGCTGACTCCTCCAGGGCCTAGATAGACACATCTTGATTTGAATGGTGACGAACATAAAATGCATTTAGAAAATGAGGCACATAAAAAGAGAAGCACTATCACAAGAGATTTTTTAAAAAATAACATTTAGATAAGGTTTACATCTGAAAGAAAGTGTAAACATGCCACAAACGTGTTTATGTAAGAATTCTATGTTTGTGATGAGTTCCACCTATAGAAATCTTTTAGTAGCAGTTTGCTTGGGGGGAAAAAAATCACAATTAGGAAAGTAGTCCACAAAGAACATTTCACATTTTATCCTCTTCATACACAAATTTGTTTTCCATCTTCATCCCTTTTTATCCCTTTTCTAGTGTCTTTAAGGCAGAAAGGCTACTTAAAGAAAATGACTTTCTTTTCAACTCTTTCACAAGTTACCCTTTATTTAAACTTCTGGATAAAATCAATAGTTTTAAAATAATCTATTTTCTATTTATCTGAAATTACCTCATATCCTCCCATCCTACGTAACTATGTTAGGCTGGCTCTAGGCCAACTAATCCACAGATTCTCTTGATGCTATTTCAGAATCGGCATGAAAGCTCACCTGTATAATCTCTAATGAGCCCTCAGCAAGAGGCACATAATAGGCATTCACAGATTCATGGGCTATCATCTTTTTCTGTTCTACTTTGTATTTGGAAATGCTCATTTTATTTGGTGTTTTCAAAATTAAAAATAAAAATAAAATAAAATTTCTGCTGAGTGCACTATCATTTTATTTTTTTTTAATTAACAAGAGGAAATTTATTTATTTAGTAGTATGGAAAGATTATCCAGTAAGGATTCCCTTAGGTGGTTGTTTCCTGCCCCTGTGTGGGTCCCACTGGACAATAATCTGAGGCCTCAGGGTAGAACCACTTACTCTTTCTACAATGGATTTTGTACTCAGGCCATCAGGAAACTAAATCAGTGGCTGTAGCCTTACAGTTATATATCAAGGATGGTTTCAATATCTTTAAAAATGTTTTTTAAATTATCTTTCCCTTTCACTGCCCCTCCCTCCCCATTAAACAATAAACAAACAAAACCTCTCAAAACAAATACACATAGTCAAGTAAAACAAATTCCCACACCGGCCAAGTCCAAAAATGTATGTCTTATTACTGGACTTTAAGTCTACCACCTCTCTGGCAAGATGCGGGAAACCCTCCACTTTTCTTGGGAAAAAAATGGCAAAACAACCAGTCAAGCTTGTGTTCATATAAAATTTACATATATCATGGAAGTGGTTATTGATAAATCAAAATAAATTAATAAAATAAATAATAAAATAAAATAAAATTTGCATATATCAAGATTTCATATTGCAGGGATTGAATACCAGAAGAGACTGAATACTCCTCCTCCTCCACCTCCTCCTCAACAAGCATTTATTTAGTGCTTATTCTGTACCAAGCACCATCCCAGACAAATCTAGGTACCGCACACTAGGATGCCCTCTGGTGGGACTGTAGGATCTGGTTACAGGGAGCGTCCAGCAAACCATCAAAAGCTTCTGCCATCGTGAGAATCTGAGAGACAGGTGCACATGGGAAGGTCACTCACCTTTTCAGTTCTGCAATGAGCAGCGCTGTGCAGGGAATGCCCAAGGTCATCAGAGAAATGTTGTTGATGGCTGGCTTCACAAATGCGAGACAAGTAGTGACTCCAGATAGGACACAGACCACAGCTTTGAACCTGCCCCTGAAAGATTGAAAAACAAATCCACATGCAAAGATTTCTCAGTTTGGGTTTTTTTTTGGGGGGGGATGAACCTATGTATCTAGGATACACAACTAAATGTCCAACCACAAGGACTAAGGAGGCTTACATTGCTGTGACAGCTATATTTACAAAGAAAAATTTTAAATAAGGAAAAACCTCTCTCTCTTCTCTCTCTGTCTCTGTCTCTCTCTCTCACACACACACATACACACACACACACGAAATCTCTAAGTTGAAAGAGATCACAGAAGCTATCTGGTACAACTTATATCTGGCCAATCCCCTTTACAACATACCTGTAAATTATAATCATTCAATGTAAAAACGAGAATGAAGGCTCCCTGAGTGAGGAGTTTTAAGTGAGGAAGAGATTTGATCAGTTTCTCCTAGCTATTTTAATTCTTTTAGTTGGTGGCAAATGTTATCCCCAAGTATCCATACTAGGGACAGGAAAAGTACAGAAGAGATTCATTAAAAGATAGCATTTACAGCCAGTTGGATGCAGGAATGGGATGCTGCAAGCCTCCAAACCTACCCCAGATTGGGGGAGATGGTGTGGCAATTCCCCAGATCAGGTGGTGTGGCAGCTCCAAATACAGTGTTCCAGATTTCCTATTTTGTGTAGGGAAAAAATCTCATCTCTGACACATTAGAGATAATGATTGCCAGGCAAGATATTTTTCTGCTTCCAGATCTCCACTTTGGAATTTTTGAACACAATAATTTGTTTGGCAGCTAGGTAGCACAGCAGACAGAGTGTCGGCCCTGGAGTCATAAAGACTCACCTTTGTGAGTTCAAATCTGACCTCAGACACTGTGTGACCCTGGGCAAGTCATTCAACCCTGTTTGCCTCAGTTTCCTCCTCTGTAAAATAAGCTGGAAAGGAAATGGCAAACCATTCCAATGTCTTTGCCAAGAAAACTCCAAATGGGGTCACAAAGAGTTGGATGTGAGTGAAATGACTGAACAACAAAAAGTTGCAGTTAGCCTTTTGCCGCCATATCACCCTGTGATATGCATTAGCATTCTGCTGTCTAAAACTTCCAGACCTTTTTCCACATGAGTTGCTATCAAGCTATACCTTCCCCATCTTATATTTCCAAAGTTGATTTTTAAAAATCACTATTAAACCTCTTATTATTTTATTTATCCCCTTTGTTCTAGATTCTTAAGACCTCTTTGGATCCAAACCCTTAATGTAATTTCTTAGCTATCCCTCCCAGATTTTGTCATCTGAAAAATCTGATAAGCATTCCACTAATATAGACTACCACCTAAGATGATCTAGTAAGAAATTTCTATATATTATAAACTCCATAATGAGTTTATAAATTTATAATATACCCCTCCCCAAAGACCTTTACATGAGGAATTTATTTTAGAACTATATGGCTTTACTGAAATTTTGGATATTCCTCAATTAAATTCATTTGCTTTTTCTATCTAGTACTTGTGAAAACTCTCAGTAGATAAGGATAAGGTGGGTTTGGAGGTAACAAGGTTACTACTGTTCCAGAGGTCTCTACCACAATCTAAACCAGGAGTTCTTAACTGAGGGACCCCTAAGGGTCCATGGATAGATTTCAGGGGATCCAGGAACATGAATAAGAAAAAAAGTTACATCTTTTTTCACCCAATATAAATGGTTTCCTTTGTAATCCTGTGTATTCTATTTTATGTATTTTAAAACCTCATAAGAAAGGTTCCGTAGGCTTTGGCAGACTGCCCAAGGGGTCTGGGAAACAACAGGAAAAAAAAAGGTTAAGAACCCACGTCTACACTGTCACTCTCAGTACCAAGGTTTATTCCTCTGCCTCCCTGAGGAAAGCAAGGGGTGACACATGGACATAAAAGTAGCACTTCCTCCTCCCCCAAAAATGGAGTCATTCTGATTTTAGGACAGCATATAAAAACTCACAGGTAAACTCCTAAAAGTATTTAAGCAGGGGCAGCTAGGTGGTACAGTGGATAGAGCACCGGCCCTGGAGTCAGAAGTACCTCAGGTCAAATCCGGCCTCAGACCAAACACTTGTCACTTACTAGCTGTGTGACCCTGGGCAAGTCACTTAACCCCAATTGCCTAAAAACAAAACAAAACTAAAAGTAAGCAAAGTAGTATAAAAAGTAACTGAATTTCCCTCCATCTTGTTTTTTCTTCTATTCTACTACGTTATGGAAGTGCTTGTTTTATTTTTTAAGTCTGGAATAAAATAAATAAAACTTTTAAAAAGTAACTGAGTATGATAGTCCTTGTAATCTTACATTCAAGCAGTTAACCATTTATTAAGAGGAAGGGCATGTCATCTACTAAAGCATTATTCTAATGTGAAGTCGAAGGGGGCACCTTCTCTAACCTAAAGGAAGATTTCCTTTGAACAAGAGAACTGGAAGGTTCTGGCACAAGTCACTGCAGGGAAACAAATATAAAAAAACAGTCCATTAAACAGAAAGGAAAGTTCACTGAGTTGTCAAAATAGGAACTTACACAAAGCTGTTTCTCAGAAGAAAAAAGAAACCTTTTAGAAACAAGGCAGAGAAAGCCACTGATCTGGCTTCCAACCCTGTCTCAAAAGATTTATTTTCTGATTTTCAAGGAACTGAATTTCAAGGCTGATCCCAAAGAAGGAAGGAAAAAAAAAACCTTTTAGCAGCAAGACAGAGAAAGCCACTGATGTGACCTCCAGCCCTCTCTCAAAATATGGGATTCATCAGGAATTTCAAGGCTGATCCCAAAGAAGAAGAAAAAAGGCCTCCAAAACCTCATGAGATTTTGCTCTATCAATCAACAAGCATTTATTAAGCTCTTGCAACGAGATACAGATTAAAAAAAAGGGGGCAGGAGAACAGTTTTTACCCTCAAGGAGCTCACATTCTAATGGAGGGGAAAAAAAAGTTATACATCTAATGAGTACATATATATGTGTGTGTGTGTATATATATATATATGTGTATGTGTGTAGTATGTGTATATATATAAGTATATGGATATTATATGTAAGTATATATATACATAAAAACATATAACTGTATGGATAACATAAATATAATACACATATATGTATGCACATTCACATATACATATATATCATATGTATATATAATCCAATTGCTTCCTGGCTTCCCTGGTTTCTTTCAAGTCTCAGATCAAATCCCACCCTCTTCAAGAGGTCTTTCCTGGTCTGCTTTAATGCTAGTGCCTTGTCTCTTAGATTACTTCGGATTTCCCTGTACATATCTTATATGTATACAGCTGTTTGCATGTTGTTCTCCCCCATCAGAATTCAAGTTCCTCAATGATAGGTCCTGTTTTTGCCTTTCTTTGTATTCCCAGAGCTTAGCCCAGTTCCCAATGCATAGTCAGTGTTTAATGAATGCTTACTAACCTGTTGAATTATGAATTATGGAAGAGAGGGCACTGGTGGTGGGAATCAGGAGAAAGGTAATAGGGAAGAAAATCAGGGAAACTGTTTGACCTACCTGGCAGCCTGTAACCTCACAAAGAAAAGCTGGTATTTAACCGTTCTCTCTGAGGGAAGTTTCTAAGTGTCTAATCTCTACCACAGTAATAAATCAGACACCCTTGGGAGCTGCAGTAACTCTGGCTAAGTCTGCTTCCAGGATTAGTTGGCTTTTTTAGGTCCAGAAGATTATATCTAGAAACAGGTTAAGAAAGAGCACTGAGATCTCCCAGCCCAAAAGAATGACCGGACTTTTCAGTCTCAGTGTTTAGGCAGTGCAAAAAGCTGACTCAGCATGAGTTGGACTCACACAAGGCTTGTTAAGGTAATTGGTTGCAAAGGAGTACACTGATGGTAAGCCAAACAAAACACTCTTAAAAGAAAGTTGCAGAACTCTTCCCCCAGTTAATTATGCCATAAAATCCAGTTGGGACTGGGCTCTAAAAAATGGGGAAGCAGTCTCCTCCGTGGGCAGAATGTTCAGTCAACTGAGACGTCCGCCTCGTAAAGTCATTCTTTTGCAACATGCAGAAAATAAACAAATGTCACATTGCCGCAGCTTACTGTTGTTGTTTGTCCTTCATTCTTGAAAAGAACAGTGACATCAGGGAGGTGATGCCATGATTTGCAAGTGAACTGGATTTAAGTGAGGGAGGGCTGTGCAGAGTCACCAGCCTCACTTTCTCGTCTGGAGTCATCTGGGTCCAAAGGTCATATAGAGATCAGGACAACTGGAGGTGGCCCAGGATGCAGTGGGGGACCTTGGCCTTTTCAAACTAAGGTTTTTTGACTGAGGCAGCACCCATTCAGTGATTAGGGGTTAATAAGAAATGAGACAAAGAATGGCATTTTTGAAAGAAAAAAATTCAACTTGGAGGGGAAGACCCTCAGAGTTTCTGGCCAGAACAGAAACAAATGCTATTTACATTCATTCTGAGCCAATCAGGGCCCAAACAATGCCAAAGGGAGGCTTGAGCTGGGACCCATTGTTGGCCAGTCAGTGAGAGCCAGAGTGACAAATGTCAGATGATTAACCCAAGAATCACTTCGAGATCTTCATTTCTCACCCCTCAGTATGCTCTGCAACAGATGCCAGATCCACAGATTTTTTCAAGAACAAATATAATGTAATTAATTCCAAAACAATAGATAGCTTGTATCCAAGTCATATTTGAGCCTATTGACTTGTGAATATTTGTACCCAATTCCTATTTCCTCTGAATCTATATGAAATCTAATCTTACAAAATAATCCATAACATTTTGGAATAAAACAGCCAGTGTTTCAAGCTGTCCCTTACCATTCCTAAGGTCAAAAGGAAACTGATTCTAAAAATAAGATCTAGCTTTAAGATTTTTTTTTAGGGAGTGAATAAGCATTCACTATCAACCTGCTCAGAAAGAGGCAGCATGTTAGTGCACTGGTCTTGAACCTAGGAAACCCTGGATTCATATATCCCATGTTTTAATATGTACTAGTTGTCTGACCCTGGGAAAGTCACTTATTTTCTCAATGCTCCATGCAAAACTATTTGTTGCAGACATTGTGTCAACTTTCATTGGTAGAGGGCAGCTAGATGGCGTGGAAGATAGAGCACTGTGCCTGGAGTCAAGAGATTTCAGATTCTGTCTCAGATACTTAGCTAGCTGTGTGACCCTGGGCAAGTCATTTAATTTCTATCTGCCTTAGTTTCCTCATCAGTAAAATGGAGGTAGTAATAGTACTCACCCTCTCAAGGCTGTTATGAGGATAAAATGAGATAATATTTGGAAAGTAGTGCTTTGCAAATCATAAAGTTTAGTTATCATTATTATTATGAGTAGCAGCAGAAGCAACTAGGTGGCTCAGTGGATAAAGTGCTGGGCTTGGAGTCAGAAAGACCAGAGTTCAAATCTAGCCTCCATTTGCCTTAATTCACTGAAGAAGGAAATGGCAAACCATTCTAGTATCTTTGCCAAAAATAAAAACTAAACCCACGGACAGTATTTCGTGCTATGGTCCAAGTGGTCACAAAGAGTCAGACACAACTGACTAGTAGTACTAGTAATAGTAATATTAATTATTATTTCCTCACCTAGCGGGGGAGGAGATCCCTGCATCATTGAAATCACAGATCTAGTCTCTATACCTACCTGTTCAGACCCCTCCCCTCCACCTAAATTCTGCAATTAAATGTCCCTTTTTCACAAATCGGATACTGAAAGATTACTGCTACCCATAAAGTTACAACAGAGACCAGAATACTGAAATGAAATCCTGCTTCTCAGGGTGAAAATGACTGTCCATCTGACTAGTTAATTAAAAATAACTTCTGGGGCACCTAGGTGGCGCAGTGGATGGCACACCGCCCCTGAAGTCAGGAGGACCTGAGTTCAAATCCAGCCTCAGACCAAACACTTGACACTAGCTGTGTGACCCTGGGCAAGTCACTTAACCCCAATTGCCTAAAATAAATAAATAAATAAATAACTTCTCTACACACCAACCCCAACCCCCAGTCATTTTGAGAGCACCAAGAACAACATATGGAATCCTAAGGCAGAATTGTATCTACTGTTTTCTCTGAATAGTGAGAATGAAAGGGAATAAGCATTTACTAAGCACCTACTATGTGACAGGTACTGTGATAAGCCCTTTTTATAAACATTATCTCATTTGATCCTCACAGCAATCTTGGGAGGTAGTTGCTATTATTATCCCCATTTTACAGTTGAGGAAAATGAGGCAGACAGAAGTTAAGTGCCTTGTCAGGGTCACAGACCTAGTCTGAGGCCAGGTTTGAACTCAGGTCTTCCTGACTTCAGACTCAGCTCTGTATGTACTATACCACCTAGCTGCCTCCATGATTTCTCCTTTGTAATACCAAGTATCAGTATCATCCATAATTTGCTTATTTGTAGCCATGTTTCTTCTCCACATTGTTTCTCTACGTATAGCATGCCTGAGCCTGGAATTCAACACAAAACCATGGTATTTTCCAAATGAAGATGTTTCTTCCTCTGTCAGGCTATCTTTTCTCAATTCTTTTGGAAATGATTCATGGTACAGTAGGAGCTTAATAAATGCTCCATTGATTACTATGTCCAGACAGGTAAAAGTACAAAACTCCCTACAGAAGGTACAAATGGCCTAGTGGTTTAATTTAGAGGGCTTGGTTTGAGTACTGATGATATCTTCTTAAGGTGTTGTGAAATTCTTTTAATATGAGTAACTCAAACACACCTCTAGGCATGACGAAATTAAACAACCCCACCTAGAAGATGAAGTTGAGATATTCCTTACTCAGATAACAATAGTTGCTAACAAAGTCCAGAGCTGTACCCTTTAGACCTTTAGAAGGGTTTTAGGGGATCCAGAAGGGCTGAGGTTCTGGATTCTGATCTGAGCTGCAGTGGGCTGACACAATTGGGTGTCCAAACTAAGTCTGGCATCAGCATAATGTGCTTCCAGGAGCAAGGGTTTACTAGGTTGCCTAAAGAGGGGCAAACAGGTCCAAGTTGGGAAATATGTAAGTCAAAGCTCCCCTGACAATCAGAGTGGGATCAGGCCTGCGAGTGCTCCCTGCACACACAAACTGGATGAGATAGGGAGATCCAGTCTTCTAAGTAGTAGGGGGTAGAGGCCTCAACCCTAGGGCAGTACTCTAATTCCAAAGGACTGTGTAGGACCCTGGAGGGAGGTGAAGGCTCACAGGAAATGGAAAGAGTAGAGGCTTGGGTAAAAGGCCTTTATATTACCTCTTTGTCAGGATAAATGAAAAACCTGTATGTGGCATTTTGTTAGCCCTGAAACTGAAGGCCCTTCCTTCCCTTTTATTTTGGAGACCTAGACACAAACTGAATTCTGATATTCCCAGAGGAAACCATGAGTAGGGAAAAAAGGTAGAAAAATGTTTGAGAGATGCACGTAAGATTGAATTTGGTCCAAGTAAACCTTCAGTTCTATTTCTGAGCCACAGTTCTTCTATTAGACAACAAGCTCCTTGAGGTCAGGGATTGTCTTTTTGCCCTTCTTTCTATCCCCAGCACTTAGCCCAGTACCTGGCAAACAGTAGGCAATTAATAAATGTTTACAAAGTAACAGTAATATTGTAAGATGATCAGCTGTGAATGACAGCTATTCTCAGCAATACAATAATTCAAGACAACTCTGAAACACTTATGATAAAAAAATGTCATCCATCCCCAAAGAAAGAACTGATGGTGTCTGAATACTGATTGAAGCATACTTTTTTTTACTTTCTTTGTTTTTCTTGAGGATTTTTTTTTTGGTCTATGTTTTCTTTCACAACATGACTTTTATGGAAATGTTTTGCATAACTACACATGTATAACCTATGTGGAATCCGGTTCAATGGGAGTGGGGAGTTGGGGAGGGAGGAAGGGAGAGAATTTGGAACTCAAAGTTTTAAAAACGAATGTTAAAAATTGTTTTACATGTAACTAGGGGAAAATAAAATACTAAATAAAAATTTGAAAAAAAAAAGAAGAGGTGGCAAGAATGCACAAAAGAACTATACAAAAAAAAGATGTCGATATCACCAATAACTACCATGGGGTGGTTACCAATCTAGAGACACACATCCTGGAGAATGAAATCGAGAGGGTCTTAGGAAGCATTGCTAACAATAAGGCTAGTGGAGGTGATTCCAGCTGAGCTATTTAAAATCCTAAAAGATGATGCTGTAAAAGTGCCACACTCCATATGCCAACAAATTTGGAAAACTCAACAGCGGCCATCGGATTGGAAAAGATCAGTTTATGTCCCAATCCTAAAGAAGGGCAATGCCAAAGAATGTTCAAATTACCAAAGAATTGTGCTCATTTCACATGCCAGCAAGATTCTGCAAGTTAGGCTTCAGCAATACGTGAACCTAGAGTTACCAGAAGAGCAGGCTGGTTTTCAAAGAGGCAGAGGAACCAGAGACCAAATTGCCAACATTCGCTGGATTATGGAGAAAGCAAGGGAGTTCTAGAAAAATATCTATTTCTACTTCATTGACCACACTAAGGCTTTTGACTGTGTGAATCACAAAATATGGCAAGTCCTCAAAGAGATGGGAGTATCGGATCATCTTACTTGTCTCCTGAGGAACCTGTACACACACCAAGAAGCGACAGTTAAAACTAAACATGGAACAACTGATTGGTTTAAGATTAAAAAAGGATAACAACAAGGCTGTCTATTTCACATTATTTAACTTATATGCAGAGTAAATCATGTGAAATGTGAGGCTGGATGAATCAAAAGCTGGAATTAAGGTTGCCAAGAGAAATATCAACAATCTTACATATGCAGATGATAACGCTCTGATGGCAGAAAGTGAAGAATTAAGAAGCCTCTTTATGAGGGTGAAAGAGGAGAGTATAAAAGCAAGTCACGGCTTGAAGCTTACCATAAAAAATACTAAGATCATGGCAACTGGTCCCATCACTTCCTGGCAAATAGAAGAAGAAATAGAAGCACAGTCAGATTTTATATTCTTGGGATCAAAGATCACTGCAAATGGCAACTGCAGCCATGAAAGTAAGAGATGCTTGCTCCTTGGAAGGAAAGCTGTGGCAAATCTGGACAGCATACTAAAAAGCAGAGATAACAAAGGTCCATATAGTCAAAGCTATGGTTTTTCCAGTAGCAAAGTATCTGTGAGAGTTGGACTCTAAGGAATGGTGAGCACCACAGAATGGATGCTTTTCAATTGTGGTGCTAGAGAAGACTTTTGAGAGTCCCTTGGACAGCAAGGAGATCAAATTAGTCAATACATAAAGAAATTAATTCAGACTATTTATTGGAAGGACAAATACTGAAGCTGAAGCTTAAATACTTTGGCCACACAATGGGAAGACAGGACTCACTGGAAGACAGGACTCCCTGATGTTGGGAAAAATCAAAGGCAAAAGGAAAAGGGGACAGCAGAGGATGAGATGGATAGATAGTGTCATGGAAACAATGAACTTGAATTTGGACAAACTTTGGGACATAGTAGAGGATAGAAGGGTATGGTGTGCTATGGCTCCTGGGGTCACAAAGAGTCAGACATGAATGAACAACAACAACAAATAAGAAAAACAAATGCTTATTGACTAATTCCTGGATCTCCTTCAATGAGTAAGACATCTGGTTTCTTTTTCTCATTGTTTAATTACTTCCCCTTTCATGAGAGTGTTGCCATTCATAGGTTGTAGAGATGGTTTCTCTATCAGTCTATATAAATGGTCAGGCACTGTATCATATTAACTGAATACTTAATAATATTTGCTCAGTAGAGATAGGGTTTTGTTGCTTTATTTCTCACTAAATATTCCTTTGCCCATGACTGGCACAGTGTTTAGAAGAAAACATATTTATTACCTGTCATTTCTAAAGACCTTTGGTAAGTACCTTCTGGGGAACCACATGGCCAGTGCACACATCAACACCCAGAGAATAGCAAGTTCATCAAGCATCTGACCGAGGAAACTCAGTGTTGCATGGAAGTAAACTGATCCAATTCCTAGAGAAGGGAGAGGAAGAGGAGGCAGAGGAGTGAGGAAGAGAGGTGAGAGAGAGAACAGATTTGTTAATTGAAAAAAATTAAATTTTTAAAAATTATTCAATGTCAATGTTTAAAGAATAATGCTGACACCTAATTCACAGATGGCACATGTCTCTCAGGATGAAAACTGGAGGGGAAAAAAATCCATAAATATAGGCCATTGTCTATAAGTACATTTATGGATATATTTATAAATGCATATAAATTGATAAATACATCTCGTGTATGTTTCAAATATGTAAATATCAGTGTATTACCAAGCTCATAGTTAATCACAACCTATCATATCCAAAATATACCAGGGCCTTCATAGAAATGGACAGGTGATAAGCATGAACGTTCTCCCCATTATCCAGAACTTTTGTTGAGAAACTATTATACAAATGGTTCATAGGATACAGAAAGATCAAAGTTATACAATCATTTTAAAGTCCACTAGCAACAGAAACAGTACTGAAAAAAAAAAAAATGTTTCTTACAACTCTGTTCTCAGAATTTCCCAGAAAATTACCACCAGTAAAAAACAGTAACCTTAAGTAACGGAACTCTGGAGAAGAGTTATATAAACCTGAGAGTTCCAGACAGTCTCAGTTGTTTCTGTAACTTTTGTTTGAACATGTTTCAAGCAAGTGAACAAAAAAGTTTTCTAGACGTCAGATTTGCTTGAGTTTATAAAACATTATGTCTAAAGGAGGTCAGGAAGTATGCAGAATTCAACATCCTCCCTTTCAAGTCGTGCATGAAAGGCTAATCACAAACTAATTAACTTACCAACAACAACGAGTAGTGTCCATATTAAATATATGCCACTGTTGAAGCATGCTGCATATTGACGGAATAAGCACATGCAGATGGGCGGCAAAATAAAAAATAAGACATTGCTGATCTGGAAAAAATAAAATTAAAAGATGCATATTAAATAAAAGAGAAGAAAACAATGTGTTTGAAATGCATTTTGAAATATATTGTGGAAATATCTCGCTCCATTCCTCCCTTTTCATATCTGTATGTATCTACCTGCTAGTTGGGACAATTAGATGTTGAAGTGGATAGAGTGCTGGGCCTGGAATCAGGAGTACCTGAATTCAAATTCAACCTCAGATACTTACTAATATGACCCAGGGTAAGTCACTTAATCTCTCTTTGCCTCAGTTTTCTGAACTGTAAAATGGGGACCCTGGAGAAGAAAAGGACAAACCACTCTAATATCTTTGCCAAGAAAACCCCATTAAAAATGGGATTACTAAAAGTTGGACACAACTAAATGATTTAACAACAGAGCCCTGGGCTCATTGTCAAAGAAGTTCAAATGAGATAATATTAATAAAACACTTAGCACAGTGCCTGCCACATAGTAGATACTTAATAAATGCTTGTTCCCTTCCCGTTATTATTCCCCTCAAAAAAGGATATTTGAGAGTTCAATTTGGAAAAACATTAAAATAACATTTATACATGCTCTAGAATAATACAGGAAATTACATGACTGTTCCTGCCTGGAAGATCTACCAACAAGATCTACCACTGGTCTCTATTGTTTCTTTTAAACACATTTGTGTACAAAAAGGAAAAGGCAAAGTTAAGAGTCAATCTTGAAAACAAAAAGAGGAAGAAACTATGAAAGAAATTCAGGAAAACCAGAAAGTAACAGTGAAGATACAGATCTAATAAATATGTCTGCTAATGAATGGAAATTTTCCCATGCTAATTGTTTGGGTCACTAAAGTTGAAAAGTAACCCGTCTAACTTATAATGTATTTGTGGGACTCTGTCAGAGAATCAATTTTATTACTTCCTAAGAATGAGAGTTTTAAGCAGAACTACATGAGAAAGCTACAAAATTTAAAAACATAATGATTTCTAGTCTAGACATCTAGAAATTGAAAAAGGACATTTGCTCTTTTAAAAAAAAAAAATAAACCCATGAAAAACACTGTGAACTCTCACATAGATAAGGAGAAATGATCAAAGCAACCACTTTTCAAAGGACTTTCCTGGTCTATGGAGCTAATGGGCAGCAGGAAACCAGACCATGGCTCCACCCCAGGTGGAAAGATTTGCTGCTGGTTTTATTTAAGTGCAGGTTTTCAATTATCCATGCCAACAGTAGTGTGGGTAACTGGGAAATAATTAATGATCCACTAATGTAGGGCATAAATGAACTTTTGAACTATTTTTTTCAGTGGTGGAGATGGATCTGCATAAATGCATTCATACACATGCTCAGGTGTTCCCATCATGACTACTGAGTGGCTTGAATATTTAAGGGTGGTCTTTGGGGTACAACGTAGTCTGCAGGTATGGGGAAAAGCCAAAGCTCTGCTACTTAGTATCCTGTGACCTTAGGCAAGTGACTTAATCATCATGCACCTTAGTTTCCCAATCTGTATAATGGCAGGGTTTGATGAGACAGATAAGATCTCTTCCATATGGTGAAAGCATATAAAAGTGTCCTTTTTAGTTCCTTTAAAATTTAAAAAAATAATACTTTTCTCTAAAACCTTTCCAGATTCCTGGGAGAAGCCCCTTAGAAAGGTGGATGGGATAGATAAGAACAAAAGGGTAAAGGACACTTCTAGGTGAATTAACCAAAATAACCATAAGGGTGATAACCAGAAATTTAACGAAAAGTAGCTCTAGTCTCAAAGCCAGGTGGTGCAGTGGAGAGAGCACTAGGCCTGGAGTCAGGAAGATTTGTCTTCCTGAGTACAAATCTGGCCTCAGACACTTACTAGCTGTGTGACCCTGGGCAAGTCACTTAATTGTTTGCCTCAGTTTCCTCAGCTGTTAAATGAGCTGGAGAAGGAAATGGCAAACTACTCCAGCATCTATGCTAAGACAACCCCAAATGGGATCACAATAAGTAGGATGTGACTGAAAAACAACTGAACAACACCACCTCTAATATAGATAAGAACATTGCTTTTCCTCTTCCCAATATGTAATCAGGACACAGACTCATCTAAGAGCAATCTCTTCCCTCTGTTCCACGAAGAGATTAGATTACGGTCTACCCCAAAGGGGACACTCAAATCTTTACCTTTTCAATTGGTATTCTCAATAGCAATCAATCAATAAACATCAAGTACCTACTATGTGACAGGAACTGGACTTAATATAAATCTGTGAGAGGAACATCATTGATTCCTCTAGGAAAGTGGTCCCAGAAGAAGGGAACAGAGACATGGTTGTTCAATTCTAGGATGCTAATAACCCAGGCTATATTTTAAGACATTTTTCCTGGTTCAAGCTTCTTATAAATGTTACCTGAAATCTTCCTGGAGCAGAGTCATGTCAGAAGGCATGGGGACTATGACAATAGCTTGTATATTAAAGATAAATTAAATAAATCTGCATGTGGCAGACCAGTGCCTACACTCAAAGTACAGTATTAGTTAGTATTAATATCTTTTCTCCAGCAAAATCTAAATCCTATGACTTATGACATCATTAGCCTATGTAGTTACGTATCTTTCTTATCTCTTGAGCTGCTAGGGATACTCCTACATCTATACCCCTTTAGTCACACACACACACACATACACACACACACACACACACACACACACCCCACCTTTGCTGTGAGAGGCTAGTGTGGAAGATAGGGTACTTGGTAGGGTGTCAGAAAGTCTTGGGTTAAAATCCTGCCTCAGCACTAGCTATATATTTAATCTTGGGCACTTGATCAGTTTGGGCCTCAAGTAACCTCCTGGAACTTAACTAAATAAATTATAAGAGTAAAAGGAATCATGAAGGAAATCCCAGATCATTTGCATAATACTTGCTGGGGCAGTTCCAGAGAAGCTGAAGGCCCCATAGTAACACCAGCATTTCATCGGGAACCCACAGGCTTCTTGACCTGGTAGCTCACTCTGCCCCAGTAGCTTCCTCACTCTAGAATTCATTCTGCCCCAGAAACCTCCTCACACTGGAAGCACACTCCATCCTTGAGGTTTCCTCTGATAGGCCAGTTCCTCTCTCAAACATCCATTTTAAGGCAAGTACCCAGGCCAGCTAGGGGTAGCTAGGTGGTGCCATGATGCACGGAGTACAAGGCCTGGAGTCAGGAAAACGCATCTTCCTGAGTTCAAATCTGGCCTCAGACACTTACTAGCTGTATGATCCTGGGCAGGTCATTTAACCTGTCTGCCTCAGTTCCTCATCTGAAAATGAACTGGAGAAGGAAATGGCAAACCATTCCAGTCTCTTTGCCAAGAAAACCCCAAATGGTGTCGTGAAGATCTGGACATGACTGAACAACATCACCAGTTGATCCAGGCCAGCTACTTCTTCATTCCTCTCCAGGTTCTATACGATTTTCAGCTTCAAATGTTGTCTTTCTCCATTAGAAAGTAAGTTCCCTAACAGAAGAGACTGTCTTTTTTCTGCTTATATTTGTATTCCCAGCACTTAGCACAGCGCCCAGCAAATAGTAAGGAATGCTTGTTGACTTGACTAGACAATATACTCTCCCATTATCAAAATATGACCCTCCTGCTGGGCTGCCAAACCAACCCCATCCTACAATCATCTTTTCTTTACTCTGAATTCCTTAAGTACAATCTGTTCTATACTACAGTTAACTACTTGGTTAATACATTGTTTTGGAATTCTCTGGTCATAACAAGTGCCTCAATTTTTTCTCCCTGAATTCAAATTCAACAAGCATTTATTGCTTCCCAAGGACAAGGACCATATCTTAAGCCTCTTATGCTTTCTCTAAAGGACTTTGACAGGGTTGGCCAGAGGAGATATTTAATAAAAACTTGTTAAATAGGTAAGTAGGTAGGTAGATAAAAGTTTGTTAAATAAAGGAGTGCCAAAGTTGGTCCTCTTTGTTCATCAGTCAAATACCATCTTTTATTCTTTTTTTTTTTTTTAGGCAATTGGGGTTAAGTGACTTGCCCAGGGTCACACAACTAGCAAGTGTCAAGTGTTTGGTCTGAGGCCGGATTTAAACTCAGGTCCTCCTGACTTTAGGGCTGGTGTACTATCCACTGCACCACCTAGCTACCCCCAAATGCCATCTTTTCTAAGGTGATAGGAAGCCTCTTCCCCTCCACAAATGTTAACTGATCCTACCAGACCTAAAGACTGATCTTCATATTCTCTCCTGTATAGCACAGCAAATGGTGAAAATGATAAATATGCTGAAGAATAAAACTTACACTCACAAAAAACACAAGTTAGAGAAACATTGTTAGCCTTTCTAAAATAAATTCTTTCAGATGTGCACTAATTTCATCCATCTCCAATGAGATTAGCTTAAAAAAGAAAAACAAAACAAAACAAAACAATGCCACTACCAAACTATCTCAAATATTCACAGACAAAGAGAAAAGCACAATTGTGGAAAACTTGAAATACACAAATTGGATTCCTTTGGCTAAAAGCCCTCATACTGATTGTCTACCATACCACCAGTCCCAAATTCCCTGGGGGGAATTATTCTACTTTCTGCTTCACTGTCTATTAGACCTTCTGGTGTATTGCGCCATGGTATTATTCTGTATGTAGTTGAATGCTCTTTGAGTGTGCTGTGGTATTACTTCGTATGTAGGTGCCTCTCTTGTCTTTCAAAGTTCAAAGAATGTTTCTTTTCATACTACCCCTTATGAAAAGTGGGTGTTGTTATCCCCATAAGACAAAAAGGGAAAATTAACCACGAAGTGTGCTTTGTTCTTATTGATGAAAGAATCATACCGTGTCCCCAAAACTCATGCTCAATACAACATCCTACTCTGTTTACCCACAGTTATATGAACATCCTCCTAGAATTACTAAATCGATGCCATCTAATTATATTGAACTATAGTTCATTGTGAAGGTTGTATAGTGTTTTAGGTATTGACAATGTCACAAAGAAAGATCCTGTGTGTGTAGGACTTTAGGGCTTTGAACAGGGATTCTGGAATCAAAAGTATAGGGTTTTAAGGACCAGTTCTACCCCTCACTAGCTGTGTCTACCTCTATGGGCTTCAATTGCCTCGTGTGTTAACAGTCCCCTTCTAGCTCTACTATTCTAGTACTCTATGAAACCCATAACCAACACCAAATCAAACACATAAGTTTTAAAAACTCCACTGGGATTCCTGTCTTCTGTGTTAGAAGAGCCAAAAGATAAACAAGAGGTTAACTATGCTGTGGAAATCAAGCTCAGTGTCTGAACCTCAAGCAATATGCTCAGCTCAGAATGTCTCATCCACACTGCAACTTACTCTCTCTTCCTGCCTCCGTTTTGCTTTTCTTCATACCTCAGCATTTACCATAGTGCCTGGCACATATGAGGTGCTTGATAAATACTGACTTATTGACCAGTAACTGCCCCACTCCGTGGCAATTCCAACCAGTCCAGTGCTCCCGGAATTCCCCATTTCCTCCTTTCCCAGGACTCCAAAGACTCAGGCGTTTATGATAAAAGTCACCTAGTGGGATGGGATTGCGTCACTGAGAGTCCGTTCATGTATTAAAAAGGGCACAGGGGTCGACTACTGAAACTTTTTAGAGTTTTATTATCATCGCCCAGTGGGTCTAAGCGTCAAGTTAATCTACCCGTGAACTTGTAAGCCAACTCCTCAGTGACGCAGGGCTGGGCAGCCCAGGGCATTCGGGTCACTAGCAGAAAGGTTGCAGAGAAGGCTAAGACCAGATGTCATGAAAGGTAGGAGGGACGTCACGGATAAGCCTACTTAAGAGACTGACACACGCGCGTGCATTTGTGGATGCGCGTGCCCAGGCACACCGCGCACCACCCCCTCCAAACACACACACACACACACTCACACACACGCACGCACCCACCCGCACCCACGCACGCACACCCCCTCTGGCTCCCCGCACCGTGTTGTAGAACTCGGCGATGGCCGGTACGATGGTGTAGTTATCTTCGCACCAGTCCACCTCCGAGCTGCCCGCCCGCAGTTGGTCCCAGAAATGCTCGGCGCTCATAGTCCAGGCCGCCGGTTGTGCTGCGCTCTGCGCGCTGGGGGCCGGGGCGGAGATGTTTCCTCTCTCCTCTTCCGTGTATCATTCAGCTGAGCAGCTGGCGACTCCAAAGCCGAAGCTGGGCACCGCAGCTGGGAGCAAGCCGCATCCACCACCGAAGCCAGCAGCTGCGCCTTTATCCTGATCTCCCACCCCTACGCCCTCCCAGCTGGCCGGATGTTCGGCCTCCGAAGCTTAGTCTTCGGCTCTCCGCCTGTAGGATGCGACCCTCTCGCAGACCCCTCCTCTCGCTCCTCCTCCTGCCCCAACCCACTGGGCGGCTACCTTAGGCACGCCCACCCCGCGACTCCCCTCCCGCATCTCCGCGCTCCTAGCCTGGGAACTGGGAAGCTGGGCAGTCTGGCTACCCGTAAGGCGACAGGTTTTCTATTCACTTTCCCCGCTTTTCATTTCATAGCTGCTGAGGCCGGGGACAACCACCTGAGGCGCCTTCAAGCTCAGTCACCTCCTAATGGAGGACTTTCCCAATCAGCCCGGTGCGGTGCACAGACACACACACACACACACACACACACACACACACACACACAATCTCGTATTCTCGTATACATTTTCTACATTTGTCTCTGTATAACCAGCGCCTACCCAGCACATTACCTGACTCATAGTAAGCACTTAATGAGTGCTTGTTGATAGATTGATGTAGGCTAGAAAGATAGAGGCCAGACAATGAGAAGGGGTTTGAGTTGAGTTGTTGTTGCCTACTCCTTTTCTTGGCAGGAGGCAGTGGGAGGAGGGGAGGGTCCTTCTTCCACCTCTTTAGTCCTGGGCGAATGACAAAACAAAACATTATTATCTTTATGATCAAATGGGTTTTTTTTTAATTCCATTTTATTAATATCGACTTAAACAACTGCCTACTTCCCGTCCACATCGCATTGTAAAATAAAAGAATCTTAGAATTGGAGGGATCTGTCTCCAGAATCAAACAGACCAATCCCTACCCTTTCCAACAGCCTTTACCACAAGTGGCCATCTAGGGTCTATGAAGACCTCAAGAAATGGACAAAGCACCTTCTGATGAAGCACATTCATTCCATTTAGGATCACAGGATTTAGAGTTTGAAATACCCTTAGAGGTCACTTGGCTCTAATCCAACCTCTCTCTCTCTCTCTCTTTCTCTTACTGTCCCTCTTCTCTCTGTCTGTATGTCTCTGTTTCTCTCTCCTCTCTTTTCAATAGATAAGGGAACTAGAACACAGAGAAGCTAAAATCGTTGGCCCTGCCCAATGACAAAGGCTTTTTTGGGCAGTTCAGATCCTTAAATTTTTCCTTCTTTCCATCCAAAATCTGACAGTAACTTCTAGCCAATGGTCTTAGTTCTGTTCTCTGAAGCCAAGCGTTACAAGTCTAAGTCTTATTCCACAGGTATCCTGTCCTAATTTTTTTTTTTTTTTTTTTTGGTGATCTAGGTTAAAAATTCTGAGTTGCTTCCATTGGTCTTCATATGGCATGATTTCTAGTTTCTTTACTAACTGGTTAGTCCTGTTTTGGAGGGACTCCAACATTGATCAATGCCATTCCTAAAATACCTTACTTCTATTACCACAGCCTAAGAATACCAAAATGGTAGGGGTGAGGTTGGTAGTGGTGGAGGTACTATTAAAAATAGTAAAACTACAACATTGAGCGGCAGCTAGGTGGTGCAGTGAATAGAGCACTGGCCCTGGAGTCAGGAGGACCTGAGTTCAAATCCAGCCTCAGCCACATAACACTCACTTGCTGTGTGACCCTGGGCAAGTCACTTAACCCCATAGTCTACCAAAAACAAACAAACAAAAATACAACATTGGGTTGCATTTCACTAAAACCCTCTTGGCCATTTCCCAGGAGGTACTTTGTGGTCATATCTCTTCCATCTGTTACTTGAACAGTTTGTTTTGTTTTAACACGAGAACAGGTTTATTATCATTATTATTATTATTATTATTATTATTATTATTATTATTACACCTAATGACTCTTACTTTATTCGGTCCATTGTTTTAGTCTGTTGAGATCTCTCACATCTCTCATCCCAATTTCCTCCCTTCAAAAAAGCACAAGTCGTGAAAGAAGTATTGACTTCAAGCAACATAGTTTTGGGGTTTGTGTTTTTGTTGTTGTTGTTGTTGATGTTGTTTTGGCAACGAGAGAGAATGTAGGAAATAAATGGGTATTAGTATCTGATTTGGGATTCAGATGGCTTCTACCTGTAATCCCTGTCTCAAAGCCCATTGATATGGAACTCTCTCCTTCTTGGTGGGGATGAATGCCCCATTCTACATGAAGGGCAGGGTGGTATTGGTAAGAACTGAAAGAACCTCAGTTTTCATCCAGTCCCCTTTAAGTGCCTTTTGGGCTTTTCAGGGTGAGTACTCTTTTGGTACTCATCAAATTTTGGGTCTTCTTTGGGAATCTTCAAGTGTTGAGCTTCTAGGTTCAAGACAGAACAACCTCACTTCACACCATTTGGGGGTGTCATAGAGTAAATGAAATGAACATTTTTCAGTACAAAGGCCCTAAGCCCATCATCACACAATTCTCACACCTCTGTCTAGGGGCTCCACTGTAGATATTAATACTTCCTTACTACAGAAAGAAAGAAAACTTGCCTGCTCCAACTAGTATTTCAAAAAAACCTTTCCAATTAACCCAACCCTCCAGTACAGCACTCTGCTTCAAGTTCCTCCTCAAAGCACTTTGTAATTTTGAAATTACATGTAATTACATCTTAATCATTTCATTGCTATATTAGGCTTTGAAGTATTTTAGGTCAAGTCCAATGTCTGTCCTTTAAAATGTATTCTAAAAGGGCATACCATTGGAGTATTCTAGTCTAACCCTCTCATTCTACAGATGAGGAAAATGAAACTCATAAAACTTAAATGACTTACCCAAGGTCACACAGGTATCAAATGAAAGAGCCAGGATATAAATGTGTTTAGAAAAACTTTTATCCCAAGTGGTAAACGTAAGTTTTGATGCTAAAAGAGGTAAATGCCTGATTATCTGGAAAAAATCAGCTACTTAAAATGATTTATTCTCCAAGAGTTGTGGCAGTGATTCTACTTTACCAGTTGTACAAGACCTCCCTAGGAAGATGTTTCTATAAATATATCTTGTATTGAGAGATTGCTCAGCTTAGCACAGAGGGGCTGGAGAACTCACCCCTCCCTGTCTTGTGCCCCCAAATTTGGTTTACTCAGGTTCAATGCCTGAGAAACTGCTTGCTATTGAAAGGCTGCCTTTTTTCCATAATCATTGGCTTGTTAACAAACTTTCAGCCAAAGACAATGCTAATTATGATTCACAAGTCTGGGGATTCTCCCAAAGAAAGAAAGTAACAAAGGTATTCAAGATTGTATGTGAACTGAGTAGAGAACAGGCAATTTTTACTCCTACTCACAAAAAGAAATGCTAAGTATAAAATAAGCAGAGTGTATATTAACAGGATATTAAAACAGAATTCAGTGATGTTACTGATACAATTGGCTAGGAACAATATTTATTTATTTTTGGTTTTGTTTTAGGCAATTGGGGTTAAGTGACTTGCCCAGGGTCACACAGCTAGTAAGTGGCAAGTATTTGGTCTGAGGTCACATTTGAACTCAGGTCCTCCTGACTTCAGGGCCAGTGCTCTATCCACTGCACCACCTAGCTGCCCCTAGGAGCAATATTTCAACCAGAACATAAAGCAGTTTTATAAGCCTGCTAATTAAGCACCTTACATTTCACCTTTGTACTGTACTGTCCAACCAAATAGCCAAGTTTGAATCAATTTTTTTTTCCAGTGGTCACCCTCTCCAATGCAGAAAGTTTTGTTGCAGCCTGCTCCTGCTACAGCTGCTATGCCAGTGGACTTTGCTGACACTGGGATCACAGAACCAGACTTTTTGAACTTACAAGGTAAGGAAAGGAAACATGAATCATTAAAGCAATTCTGAGGTTCCACCTCAAACCCATCTGATTGGCAAAGCTGACCAAAAAGAAAAAAAAAAAGAAAAAAAGAAAATGACAAATATTAGAGGAATTGTGGAAAAACAAGTACATTTGATGTGGTATTGTTGGAGCTATGAATGGGTCCAATCATTCTAGAAGGTAATTTGGAAATCACATAAAATGTTACTAAATAATGCATGCTCTTTGAGCCTGCCACACCACTGCTAAACCTACAGCCCAAAAAGATCAAAGAGGAAAAGATCCTATATGTACAAAAATGTTAATAGTAGCTACTTTTGTGGTACCAAAGAACTAGAAACTGGAGGGGTGCCTATCAATTCAGCAATGGCTAAAACTGATGTAATGAAATACTATTTTGTTGTAAGAACTGAGAAGAAAGACAGTTTCAAAGAGACATAGAAAAACTTCTAGGAACTGTCGAAGACTGAAATAAGCAGAACCAGAAAATAATTTATACTATAACATCAATATAGTAAAAAGAAAGGAAACACAAATGAGACAGAGGCTGTTAGGAACCCAGGTAAAAACTCACCTAGTTTCTACATTCAGGCACTAGCTACCACATGAACATGCTTGCATGACACCAGGAATAGAAAAGAATCCTATCTATGGAAGCCAAGAAGCCTGAGCCAGATGTTTTTTTGGGTAGCTAGATAGTACAGTGAATAACTAGAGTGTCAGGCCTAGAGTCAAAAAGTCTTAAGTTCAAATCTAGTCTCAGATACTTACTAGCTGTGTGACCCTGAGCAAATCATTTACCTTCTGTCTGCCTTAGTTTCCTCAAATGTAAAATGGGGATAATAATAATAGCACCTACCTCCCAAGGTTGTTGTGAGGACCAAAAGAGATAATAATTATAAAGCAACTGGCACAAGAGTACTATCTAAGTGTTAGCTGTTAATATTTTTTCCTTTTAACAGACATAGCATCCTGCCCTCCCTGCTATCACACAAGGGACCACTTGGGGTTTTATATGTCATGTGAAAATACCAAGCCCTTTGATCAGTGGGTTACAACATGACCGGAAGCAACCCCAAAGCTTGCATATGGTCAGTCAGAAATAGGAAAAGACTACCTGTTCATGCTCAGATAACTCCCATTATATATATATAATTTAATCTGGAGATTTATACTGGGTGAATTGGGGAACTAATAGTTATTCATTAAAGAATC